ATTGTGGGAGCAAAGCGTAGCTTCTCTCGCGGTACTCGCTGCAAAAGTAGAGCAATGTTCTACTTTTGCCGCCTCGACGGAGGCGTGAGCCAATCGAATCATATGCCAGTGCAAGCTCTAGCCAATCAAAACGCGTGCTTGTGTGTCTGGGGCGGGAGATTCAGGTGATTGGTTGTTGGTCGAGTTTCACGCCCACCGAAAAGCTTCAACGCACGCCCCCGTGTGGACGCTGCGTTACACAAGCTACTGTAATTATTAATTGTTTCATAACTTTATTCCCTTCTTTCTTTTTATGAATGTTTATGTATTTGTGATGTCTTATTTTTTGATGGCTTTACTGTTTGGCTTTGTAATTCTTTCAAAACTCTTTGTAAATTCATTTTTTAGAGAGCACATAAACAAATTTATTTTTCTTATAATGAGGAGGTAAAATAATCCCTGTTTGAGGATTTAATTAGGAAGCAAAAGACTCACCCTGCGTTCACTAATCCAGGCGTTGTCTGATCTTCAGTTTTTTCCTCTGTGGCAGTCTGATGTTGCCGTCAGTAAAATGTATGAAGAAATCAATCACCAAAGAGATACAAAATGTATACAAATAAACAATACATGCAAGAAATATTTGTTCTTAAAGTGCCTTGTTTCTAAAGATATAAATGAATTCCTACCGTCCCCTGATGCTTCTCAGAAGTATCGGCAGTGGTAATTGTTTTGGAGGTTGTCCCACTGGCAGAGAGGTCTTGTGTTATAAGTCTGTATTGACCCCCGTCCTTCTTCATTTTGAGGCCAAATATGTCTGAGAGTACATCCACCTCCATCGGAGAGGTCACAGCTGCCACATGCCCCATCTCCCTCAATTCTCTCTGGGAAGAGAAACTGGCAGAGTACTTCCTCGGCCGATCCACACCACTTGGGAGCTCCATGACCTCATCAAGAGTTGGCTCGATGATACCACCGAGCAAATCGGATATCCTCATCCTTTTGGCTCCCTCTATGAGCCCACCACTGACAAAAGCTATGTACAGCACATATAAGATGCCCTGAACTACAACACACATACACCGGGCCTGAGCCATGACAATGAATCTGAGGAGGAACACAGCCGACATGAGCATATCCTTCAGTGTCATCCTCATCAATGTCTTCAAGTTTTTAACAGAAAGTATAGATATCAGCAAAAACAACCATTGATACACGAAAAACCTTCCTTTATCCTCCAGATTGTCACTCTTTTCGTCTTCTCCTTTGTCTGCGTGCCTCTCTCCAGAGTCAGAGCCAGATATCTGGGCTGCGAGCTGCATCTCAAAGATGGTGTCCTCACAGAAATTGACAAACATCTCCATTTTCTCCTTCTCTCCACCCTCATTGACCACATCAAAAATGAACTGTCTCTTGGACTCTTTGACTTGAGGCTTCTCCCATTGTGTGCGGCTGGCTTCGCTAATCTCAAAGTACACGCGTTCAATGCGCTTCCCACTGCCGAGGATCTCAATACGACCTAGGTAGGGCTGGAAGTACGACAAGACACACTCTGCCAGCTCCATGAATGTCACAAGCCTCGAGTCGTTGGGCATGTGTTCGGACAAATTGGTGAGAAGAACAGCGAGGCTAAAGCCGATGTCTTTGGCTGGCTCGTGGAAGCGATCCACAAAGGCCTCATAATCCACGATTTCACTATCGTCAGTCTTCATGCATGAGAGGAGGAAGGGAATCTCGGCCTGGGAGAAACGCTTGCAATTCTCCATGGCTTTCTGGAAGTCCTTTCTGGAGATGCAGCCCTTACGCTCGGGGTCGAACTCTTTGAAAGTATCGGAGGAGGTGAGGTCTTTAAGTTTGAGGAACATGTCGAAAAACTTTAGGATCATCTCCACATTGCCTGCGGATTCAACCAACATATCCACCATCTGCTTTCCAATAGTGCCATTAACGACGGTACCTGCAGCGAAGAGGGAAAAGAGAAATAACATTCTGGATTAATGATAACTGGTAAACCATTTATGATCATTAATTCTGAATAAAGCAATAAAATAAGTGGAAATCTTGCCTTCTAACATAGAAAGCAAGAACACAACCATGTCCTTTTGTAAATCCATGAGTTCTTTCAGGAGCTCAATTTGCCTCGAATCCTATTAGAAAATATATTGAGAATTACATATTTAGCAAAAAAGAAGCAAAGCAATTTCAAATCTTGACGTTTTACATTTTGACATGCAGAACACCAGAGGCAGCTGACAATGAGAGCAACAACAGATTAACTATAAATGCTTTTTTAATAACATTGCCAGCAGCCTTAAAATAAGAACTAGTGTGGAAGAAACCCTGCAGCAGACCATCACTTCGATGATTAACAATGTTATGTTTCTGCAGAATTGTAATGTGCTGTACCTGAGAGAGCTTCATCTGCATGTGGGCAAAGACGTGGAGGAAACCTACGACAGCGTCCCACAGGCGGCTGTGAGCCAGGCTCTGTTGGTTCCCAGCACACGGGCCCTGTTTGAACACAATAATAATGTGAGCTGCAACTTTTAAAGAAACATCTCACCTCATTGTCAAATAGATGTTGGTAGGAGCTCACACGATCAAAGTCAACTTTAATGTCAATCTTTCAGTTTGTGGTTACAGACAGAGAGATCGAAATAACGTTTCCAACAATCCTGAATAAAAATATATATAAAATATGGATATCCTATATATACACAATCAACAGACACAGTTACACATATGCACACATTAAGATAAAAACATAATCAATATATACAAAATAACAGTCACTTAAATATCTTTGGGACTGTACATTAGTGCAAGATTGTGCATTAAACATGTTTTGACACAATAAGACGTAATGTAAACTGACCTGTATGTACTCTGTGAGTGTGTTGAAGACCTGTTTGGCCACTTCAATGGCCTTGGAGAAATTCTGTTGTCCGTGTGCATCAATAACATCTTTCCCTGAGTAGTACCAGTAGAAGTCACTGATAGACTCCTACAGTTTGGCAGGGACAAATATGTGTTGTTCATGCGTTAAATAAACCATTATTTTTAAGAACAAATTATATTATTAAATATGTTGCAATAGAACTTAATGATCAATGAATTTATATATGGTTGATTTGGTAGGAACAGTTCAAATATACATAGACAATCTGAATGTGAATACATGTATCATGGTGTTAATATCTGTTCCAGGTTTACAACACTCTCTTGAAGGGCTGAATACAACTTAATAAAGTGAGACACAAAAGACCACATAAAAAGATATATTGAAGTTCAAACTAGACACGTCTACAGGTTTGTTGCTGGATTTGTGGTAGCTTTTTTATTAAGTTGTGAAAACTATTTGCGGTAATGGAATCGGGAGTAACAGGCTTTTTTGTTTCCTCTCAAAGAAAAAGCAGGCTGAACAAAAGATGTTTTGCAGAGTGAAACCTTTCAATTAACACTTGAAGCTACTCTGGCGGATCTAAAGCCCAGCAATCTCTTGAAGTGATGCAGAAAGGCAGAGGAGAAAGTCAAATTGAACACAAGCTCTACAGTACATAACAACGCAATGCAGTTTGGAAAAATTACTTGTATTTACTCAAATTGCACAAATGAGTGTTCCTTATTTGCACTTTATGGATTGAATCACAAACTGGCCATCCTGGGCCCTAATGTAATCAACAATCACAACACAGTGCTCACAACGCTTGAAATCGGAATCAAACTATGTAAATGACCATTTTCCAGGAAATCTGGGAACACTGACTGGTATACACTCAGTGTACACTGTGAGGAGGCATGTGGCGCAGTGGGTTAGTGCGTTGGTGATCGGATCAGGGGATCAGGGCGATCAGGGGATCACAGGTTCAAACCCCACTGCAGTCAGCATGTCGTTGTGTCCCTGAGACACTTCACCCCAAATTGCTCCTGTGGGGATTGTCCACAGTATTGAGTATGTAAGTCGCTTTGGATAAAAGCCTAACAAGTAACATATAATGTATATATCCTTTATCAAGTGACTGTTTAATGTGTTCCCATAGTTAACAAGTAACTGACGATGTGGTATGGTTGTATCTGAAACCGAACTATTGAAGGTTTAAATAATAAGGTTGTTTAATGTAACAGCAGGTGTTCTTCTGAATCAACCTTTTCCAGCACTTTGAGACAGGCCTAGAAGAAGATAAATTGGTCTGTATTTGGTATCTCTTTCTTCAGTGTCACTGGGTTTTAATAATCATTAGCAGGCACTTAAAAGCATACTTGATCTGATGACAATTGAACCTGTATTCACAAAGTAGGTACCCTAATACAGGTTTGGAGTACTGATTAAACCACCATGGCCATATTTCTAAGGGATAACTGGACCGTTAGTATACTAGTAAGGTTTGGTTATTTTGCTCTTGCTGTAAGCTTACCTGAACTCTCAGTAAATAGTCCACAGTTGTTATTATGATGTTGACAGTGGTGTTGTTGCCGGTTTGAGTTCTCAAGTAATTCTGGAAATCTAACATCAAAAAGTAAGAGCATGTTGAATAGAATGTAAAAGTGCATTGCAATGAAATTCATCTGGTGTAGACAATGCAATTAGACACCGCTGTCAACTAGAGCACAGCTAATGTGTTGTGCAGCAATTATGAATCAGCGCATGACTCTTATTAACATAACTTTGAAGGAACATCAAGGTGAAAAAAAACAAACGACCCAAGTTTTTTGTTATCTTTCTTCTGTGTTACAGTGTGTGGTGCTTTTCGTAGACAACAATATAATCTATGTCAACTTTATGACAGTGTGACGTGTGTAAATGGATACAGCATGGTGCAAATAACCTGAGTTGTGTCCTTCACAGAGCAGCTGCAGAAATCGGAACAGATCACAGGTTAAATCTTTGTCAGGCATCACCTTGTCTCCTGGGGAAAAGATGGAGCACGAAATAAAAGGGATGAAAAGCAAGGAATGGAGTAATACTGTAGGAAATGTACGACGGAAATAATGACAAAAGGATTTAGAAACAAAAATCAGGTCACAATGGAGTGACACTGAGACTTAGGCAGAGAGAAATAGGATTTGTAAGTATTTTAAAGTCCTGGGATCACACAGCTGGGTCTCTTGCTATGACATGGCTTCATAGAAACTGATTTCTTTTTCATTTCCATATGTATACAGTACCTGAGCTCTTGTCCATGGCCATGCCTAATCCTTCTGCTTTGTTCTGCCTCTCAAATGCATTTAGATCCAGAACGCTGGATAGCAGAAAGACAGGGGTTTCAAAAAAGAGCTTTTACACTCTGGTCGTTTCTCAATCTCGAGGAAACTGGCTTCCAAGCCAATATTTCAAGGATGCTACGTCATCGAGTGCCGCCAAAGGACTGTTCCAATATCCGCATACTTGGTAACTTCACCGAGGCCGTCGTCCTTCCGGTTTGTGGGGTAATTTCGAGGCTGCACCATGGATAGACTTCGCGTCCTTAAAATCCCCACAATGCTTTGCGCGTGGACCAATTTCCCCAAATCTGTGGCGGAAAATGTAAGGCTCATATGACGCACACGTGCAAACTTGCTAGCCTGTTCCACTCTTTGTTTTCCGAATGCCAGGAAGGATTCTTGCCTAGCTTCTGAAGCAAGTGACTCGGAAGACATGTGCTGCCAAGCAAGCATCCTCGCGATTGAGAAACGGCCTCTTTGTCATACATAGTCATCAATCAATACATAAACACTGAAGGCCCTTGTGACATTTTACATGGCCGGTAATAGGATTTTCCGACCAACACTCACCTACATGACCGCATGAGCCCAGCCATGCTCTGGAAGAATCCAACGTCTTGCTTGTCTCTCAGATAATCCAGCATTTTCTATCACACAAAAGCATCAAAGACATGGTCTACAAAATGGACGAGGATCTCATCTACAGCAGATATGATTAAGTTACAATTGTTTTTTTATTACTGCAAGCTTTGCTGACGTGACTGTGTCAAAGCATCATGTTCAGAAGAAGACAGAGAATATGAAATGGATTTGTTCTGAAAAGATGAAACTGAACAAAAACACCGATGTAGGAATACTCAAGGTCAAGGTCAGTGATGAGCTCTGTAGCTGGTTACCTTGCGTCATTGTAATATGAAAACTTCCATTTATATTCATGAAAGATATTGCGTTTGTCATACCGCTGCTATATCAGAAACCAACATCTTTGCTTTATCTCATCTGTGTTAATTATACAAATATTTAAGTTTCATGAAATGTGATTCTCGTTCCTACATGAGGTAGAAATGACAAATATCAGAGTCATGAATATGCTAAATGCAGCATTGTACCTGTTGAACAGCGGCATTCCCTCCATTGAGAACAGCAATACCCAGCTTCAATGTAGGAGCAATCATGGAGCCCATCTCCCCTGATGAGATGTGAAATGGGTCACAATCAGAGGATGTACATAAATGACTTTTATTAGATTGCTTATAGCTCCCCAAACTAAAGCAAAGATACTACTTACCCATTCGTGAGTATTTTCTTTAAGAACTATAACAATTGTAAATCATTTATCATAATTTATAAGGTCCCCTATTATACTGTTTTTCATCAATATATTATAGGTCTCAGATATATACAACACATCTCTCTGAAGTGTTTGGCTCCAAATACCAAACAGATCATTGCAGCATTACCCATAATCCCCTCTGTTTCAAAAGTGCTGATTCTCTGTCTGTTAGTTTAGATGAAAATAAGGAGCCAGCCCCCACGCCCCTCTGCGAGATATTTGGTTAACAAGAACACAATGGTGCGAGAGGAGGAGATTCAGGTGATAAGGTGGGCGGGTGTTACCTTGGTTGGTGATTGGCTAATGGTTACACAAGCCAAAAAATCGTTATGACATCATAAAGTGGCCAAAATCAGGTTTTTATATAAATGGATCAGGACAAAAAGCGAGAGAATCTTTATTCCTGAAACGTTCAGAATCTCTTTGCGCAGAGGGGGGGGGGCACATGTTGATGTATCAAAGACGTGAAAAAGTGGATTTTGCATAACAGGTGACCTTTAACATGTTCCAACCTTTGCTGGCACTGATGGTTTGCAGGAGCATCTCAGAAGCTCCACGGCGGTGCAGCCGGGCCTGCTGGTACAGCAACTTCTGCTTCTCCATCTCCTTCTCCTGAGCCACAGAAACATCATTGTATCTCAATTACTGTTTTACATTAAAAAAAAATATATACTATAAACTGTATATATCTTATAAAATGGTCAAATAAATGAATACATTTTTGTTCATTGAATACAACCTAAATGTCAATTTGATTTAATAGCAGGAAAAAAAAGTGTCCATTCTCTCACTTCAAAGCTTTCCACTTCCTGTTCTTCCTCATCATCGTCCTCTCTGTGGCAGCTCTGCAAGATCAAACATATGACACAGAGTGGAGATAATAAAAGAAATTGAAAATACATCTACATAGAAGAGGTACAAAGCGTACAAACTCGCTTCTTTTGTTATATATGGCAGGTGGCAAGCACAAAGACATGAAAAGATGAGTGAAATGAAGATTTGGACATACTCATATAATAATAATAATAATAATAATAAATGGGATTTATATAGCGCTTTTCTAGACCCAAAGACGCTTTACATTATGAGTCAGGTCGACAAACAAAACAAGAACAAAAACACAACAAAAACAAAAACAAAACAAAAACAGAAAAGCAGTCAGGAGGATGTTGGTTCAGAGGGGGGAGGGGCGGGTTTAAGGATAAGCAGAGTTGAAGAGGTGGGTTTTCATATAAATTAAGATACAACAAATGAGATCTGTTATATTACCTTGGCCATAATAGCAGCGTAGGACTTATAGAGGCCGTCATTTCCAAGCTTACTGCGAACAAAGACGACAAATAAGATAACATTAGTTTTTATCTTGCTATGGACGATAAAGCAATATAGAAAATGGCTGTTAAAAGACAAGGTCAATGTGTAGCGGATCGTCACCTGATCCATTCACAATGGTTCAAACTGATCATGTTAATTATAGAGTTGAAGCAGCACCAACTTGAAGTAGTGTGTGGATCTAGAGCAGTGTTTCTCAAACACCAAGGACCTCTTAACCAATACAAAAAACACCCGCGGACCACCCAACTCCACAAATATCCCAAAACAATAGGCCTGCTTCCCACTCCAACAGTATATAATAAATGACAGTTTAACCTTCTCTATATCGCCTCGTTCACACATTAAATCAACAATACAAAGACTGCGGACCACACTTTGAGAAGCACTGATCTAGAAGTTGATCATTTTATTCACAAATCTACACTGTGGTATTATGCTTTTTAAATCGACCATACCCAAACACCATAAACCTGGCTGATTTGATCACATCTCTGCAGCGGCTCAAGCCAGAGAGGCCTCCCCACTCGAATGTCTTCACTGTGACGTGGAGGGAAATGTTCATTTAATATTATGCACTCAGGCGGAAAGTGTGTCTCTGCAGGAATATCATGAGACTATGAGAGCAACGTCTCAATGGGATTGAGGGACCAAATGATGCATGACTAAGAGCACCACAGGACATCTCTACAAAGAATTAAAAACATATATTTCACGTTGCAGGTTTTTGGAAAGCAATTGCCACAGAAATGTGTTCAGGAAACAAAGAACCCTTCTGACGTATCTAATATTGACCTTCTAGGTGACGGGTTGGACCGGTGAAAAAAGGAGAAAAGGTTTTTTACAGCATGTGATCTTTAAGAATGAACTCACACAGACCTCGTTTCCGTCAGGGCGCTTCGACTGAAGAGTGTAATGAGTTGCAGGAGGGGATCGATAGCTCTAGCACCTTCTCCCACATCCTTTCCTTCCTCTCGGTCACCTCCACACAGATCCATCACTCCTCCCCTCTGCATTCAAGAGAGAATAAAGCCACTAGTGTGTGCTCTTAAATAATGTCACACACTGGCCCCACAGCCTCCGGGGTGACTAACGTTTAGACCCAGAAGGTTAGCCCGACTGCAAATACAGACTATAAAGTATACTCAAACTTACAGTACATAACATGGTCAGGTTTATGTGCAGGGGGAAGACTATAACTTAACATAAACATAGTTCAAAAAGAGCCATTTTAATTTCTAAGGTAGGGTAGGTCATTCACTTCAGAAACACTTTTTGTTATATTCCATGGAATGCTCTTAACATCCCGATAGCAATGAATACATTAAATGCTTTGACAATAAATACATAAAAAATGTCATCTGTGGAAGCCCGTGGCGCTGTGTACTTTTCGATTCGCACGACCACACAACAGTCCTCTTCAGTATGTACCAGGGCAGGAGTTCAATAACTTCTATCCCTATCTGATCAGATCAGATTTGGACTCTTGAGGGAGTTCAAACACATGAAACACGGATGTAGGATGACTTGATAGCCGGACCAGATCCAGGAAAGATCCAATCCAAACTTAATCTGGCGATCAAATCTTCAAAACGGGTAGTTCAAAACCGACAACTACAGGATGGGATCCAGTTTGATCCCAGACAAACTGGATTACCTGATCCCACCAGAGGGGTGGATGTCCAGTGGACTGTACCAGACGCAAATGACTGTACCATTTATTTTAAAAATAAGGGGGGGGGGGGGGGGGGGGGGGATGTTTCAATATAAATACACGATGGCATACACGTTTGTAAGTCTGAAAGTAATACACAATTTTTAGCGCTCATGGCAAATCAATTTTAGGTTCCATTTTTCTGGTCACGTTTGTGGTGGCCTAATTCTTGTTTTCACCAAATGTTGATGGCATATAATGTTTTAGTGCTATGAAGTATCCAGCAACAAAATTGGTAATCCAAATGTAATTTAGATCTAAACGAAAAAATACCTTCAACAAAAAAAAAGTCCATCATCTTTCATCAGCCTTATCAAAAGCTAATTCGCGGACAATAGATGCTGCAATCCGTGGTTCTTGTCTTCCTTGTATATTTGTTCTCGTCCACTAGAGGCGGATCGGTAGGATTAAAGCACTGCATCTTCAGATCTAGTCATCCTGAAAAATCGTAATCGGATTCAGGGTGAATCCTATCCTGAATTTGGCTTTGAACTCCAGGGACAAAGATCTGGCCGCCGATGCCGACCTGTCTGATCCTGGATCACAAAAAATGGGATTTCAAAATCTGATCGGATCTGATTGAGATGAAAAGTTTTGAACTCCTGGGCCCAGGGTATATGCAGGAATCCTGAAGTCAGATGTAAAACTTTTTAAGAACTTTTTTAAGACCCTTTCCATACATTTTAAGACCTCATCGCCACTTGGAGTTTTAACCGGTTACCTTGGCGACACACTTTACCTCACTTTGACTATATACAGTATTGATTGTCCTTCCTCCTTATCTTCCAACCATTTGGACGCTAACTTGCATTTCCCCATAACGATGTTGTTTAACAACCGGCGTAAACGGACCATCGCGCGCTATCAAGCAGTGAGCGTGCGATGTCCTGTTCAGATGACGTCAAATCCAACGGGATGCCATAAATAAACTACACAGAATCACACTACACACCTACGCAATGATTACATTCAGGAAGACTGTAGAATACAACCTCTTTGGACAATTTATATACTTATTGAAAACAAGCTACAAAATGTAATACCTTGGAAAATGCTGTTTAATACTTTTTAATAGCCTTAACCCCGCGGACACCCTGATGGAAGGACTTAAAGGACTAGAAGGACTGAAGAGCTTTTTGAACATTAAAGCATGGAGACATATCACACAGTAGAGACACTAAATACAAATATGAACCTTCAAATGAGCATCATAGTGCCACTTGAAGAGATATTGCTAAATGTAATGTGTTTGCTAAACTATTTTTATTTAAGAACCAGACTCAGCAAATGAGATTTAAGGAGAACTGCATTTGATCTATTAGTCTGCATGATAAAGACTCAACAATATGTTCAGGAAAATGAATGACATGACAAAATGTACAATGAAATGTTCATGGATTTATTAATATGCCATGAAACATGTAAAAGATGAAATGTCCCCTGTGGTGATATGGGGTTTACCAATGAAGTCATTTTTCCAGCAGACACACAGACGTACCTGAGAGGAGTTCTGGGGCTGCCCACGATCCGTCGGGGTGAGCGCACTTTTGGCTCAAATGAAAACCTTTCTTTGATGTTATCCAGGACTGACGGAGCGACGTATGTGAAGCCCTGCAGAAACAAAAGAGACCAGAGACACACTCAGTTACACCTCACACAGAAAGACATGCATCGGCTTTAAGATCTGATATCAACTCCACAGGACTGCTTTTAATTCTCATGATGTATGCTGCTCTGTGATGCCCGGCCAGAATCTGATACATGAGCAAGAGCAATTAACTTGTGAGCAAGACGCTGCCTAACGACAAGCCTTTTCAAAGAACAACCTGTTTACTGTGCACACTTGTGGTGTCTTGTTTGACATTTAGTATAATGTTAGAAAACGTTCTCAAAGGATTACCAGGAAGGCTTGGTTTGCGCTCTCGCTGAGGGTGGAGTCGTCCGGGCTGTCCACCGGAGTCTGACTGGTGAACTTGGAGTCGAACTGACTCACGTCTTCAGCTGATTGCTGCAAGGACAGAAGAGGAACACAGGTGAGGAGGCGTGGTAAGAGGATGGGATTTTAAACTTTGCAGACCATTTACCTGTATAACACTACAGGAGAGGGGAAACCCCCAAAAGCATAAAAGGGCCTCTTTAAATTGGACTTCACATAAACAGGCTTCCTTCACATGTTCCAAAGTTAAACTCAGGCTCAGTTTGAAGTATATTTGGAAGCTTTTGCAGGCCCTTACCACTCATATAGAGTTCTTCAGTTCTTCCTCACATTATATAAGATGGTATTGTGCTTTAACCAACCAAAATAGGTTTGAGAAATCATTCTTCAAAAAGGGTGAACACATTAAAAGCAACACCTATTTCAAAATGTGTCTTTTTGCAGAACAATCACTTTTCAAACCTTGAAAACGTCACATTACATTTCAAGTATTTCCTGCACCTGTACAAACACTTCTTCTAAACTTTAGTTATGAGTACCGTAATTTTCGGACTATAAGGCGCACCTGAATATAAGCCGCAGCAGCTAAATTGAATGATGTGTACATATATAAGCCGCACTGGACTATTAGCCGCAGGTGTTAATGTTAATTAACCATTATGTAAGGTTCGTGCACAGAGGGGATTGTCGGGAAGAGATGGCTGTTGAGGAAGCCCCATTTAATAACATTTCAACAAACAGTTGCATATTTGCATAACGGTATTCAAGTGGTTACCGATTTAGTCGCAATAGTTAGCTACAGAAGCATGTACTGGTAACTGTAAACTGTATCAACATAGCGTTTCCAAGACACACAAACTTTACAGACTTTCAAACTTTAAACGGTTGCGCCCCAGCGCAACGTACCGGCAGTGATCTACCATCCAGTGGTTTGTCAACCGTGGTGACGGACAAACTGTCTCGCTCCTCCTAATGTCGTCTGTCTGCTTCGTTCGTGTCATCTCGTACCACTTCTCGGTTCCACTTTTACTTTGCGCGCTACTGCTCACTCTTTTCTCGGCTCCAGCCTCTTTCCCTGCTGGACGCCCGCCGCTAAAGGTGGGGGGCGCGGACCGGGCCATAGAGCACCATAGAGTTAAAAGGTGGTGGACTGTAACCTGGAAAATCCATAGAATTTAGAGGTCCCCTAGTGGGCCGTTAGCGAAAAACCCATAGAATTAGCCGCCCCGTTATATAAACCCGCAGCGTCGAAAAATGGAAAAAAGGCGCGGGTTTATAGTCCGAAAATACGTAATAGTACCAACTAACAAAGGCAGTCGGAACAAGAGAATACTGTTGGTTTCCAACTTCTGAGAACAGGTAGTTGAACTGGGCTTGGATTTAAGGAACTCCATCAAGAAAAAACAACTCGCAGCTACTATGAAGCTTTAGTGGAGAGTTCACAGAGATCTATTCTGCATCTAACATTCTCTGAATGCCCACAGCCAAACTACCATATACTGACAGTGGAGGTCCGATTCGAGATTCCTTGTGACCCCGATAACTCACCAGGAAAGGTTTAAGGGTGGCTTCCCACTTTCGAGCCAGCAGATCTCTCCCAGTTAAGTGTCTGAAGAATGGATGACCCCTGCGGGACACCCAGCAGAGACACAAGAGAGGGCATTAAACATTCGACTCGCCCATGAATAAAAACTCCCAGATTCTCTAAGGTCTCTGGTTTTACCGTGACACTTCCTGTGGCGTCTCCCTGCGCCCGCCCAGCCTGCGAGAGGGCGTTTCCTCTTCAACAACTGTGCACAAGATCAAAAGGTCAAATAATGCTATCACAACAACACGTAACACTCAGGATAGGCGTTAAACAAACAGGAAGTACCCGCTTCAGGAGATCCTGGCTTCTTGTGGTGAGGTAGGCGGTCAGCCTGAGCTTACACTGTCAAGGATCTTGTCCCGATGGTCTTTTTCCGGTTTTCCCCCCGTGAAGGAGGCTGCAGGGGGAAAGAGAGAGGAAGGTGGTTACTCCCAACACACCCAGATAAACGACAAGAGCGAGAAATCATCTGTTAATGTCTGTAGACCACCATGCACTGACCGCGTCCTGTGAGCATTTGTACATCAGAGCGCCGAGGCTCCACCAGGTCCACGCCGCTGCGTGGCTGGTCCGCGGCGCCCGACCTTCCGTCATCAGGACTCTCCGCGCACCCGCCCGCACTGCGATCACAGACAGCAGTTCTGTATTGATTAATGAATGTGCAATGCAGTCAACAGATGAGCATCCCGATAAGAGGAACAAGGAAGTGTTCAAGTGAGCAAGGGAGTATATGTGTATGCAGGTGCCTGAAGCGGGATCGTGAAGAGGGGAAATGTAGAGAGCGGCGCTGCACAATGTATGTCGATGGATGCCGCAGAACGTGGTGGTGACCGTGCCGGTCGGTGCATGGACGCTTTACACGCCCGAACGTCATCAGTCTTGACATGACCTGTGAAGAAAAAACGCAACACACTATCAGATACAATTATTCAGAATATTCTGGTGGCAATATTCAAGACAGGAGATGGGGGAATATCTGTTTTCTCACACACCGTGGTTGTTGGCCCATGATGTTCTCAGGCTTCAGGTTACTGTAGATGAGCCCTTCTGAGTGCAGGTGACCCATCGCCCATGGAGATCTCGGGCCAGGTAGAAGCTACAGAGAGGAGACAAAGAAGAACAGTTGATACGCTGATAATAAAAACATATAAACGTAGAGCTTAAGTGAGTTTTCAGCGGTTTGCATATCCAATATATCATCGATATTAAATAACCAGGGGTATGGATCGCATGGAATCCTGAAGTCTAAATTAAAACCTTTTAAGCACCTTTTTTAAGACCCTTATCCAGGTACATTTTAACAAGACCTCATGACGCAACTTTGAGCTTCTAACCGGCTTACATTGGCACACACTTTACTCACATTTACTATATTGATTGTAAGCCATCAGCCAAAACTAAACCCACGAGGTGCAGACAGACAATCGCGTACTGAAGCCTCCTTCCAATGAACTTCAACCCTCTGTGAAGGTCCAGGGTTTACACTGCACGTAATGCCTGCTTTGTTGCTTCTCTGTTAGACTCTGTGCTTTTCATTCCAGTAAAATCTCAGAACCACTCAGAAACAATATTTGACCAACATAAGCGCCCGCGAAACATTGACAAAACTTTGCGCACGCACTCGCGTGGCCGCCATATGTTAACTTTGGTGAGGCTTTCAGCGGGTAGAGCCAGTAGAACCTCCCTCCTCGCACACACAAATACCAGGGGTTAAGACCTGCCGCGCCCGCCCGGGGGCGAGCGCGCGCGCGGCGGGCGCACGCGCGGGGGCTCAAGCCCTGGCACCCTGCCCGCAACACGATGCTCTGACGCCCCAGTGCCCCCCAACCCGCTCACAACATCTTGCCATCATGTCCCTCGCTACAGAAAAAACACGGATACTAGTCGCGACACGCCTGTTCACACACCGGGACTTCTCGTCGTTCTCTCTCCACACTCCCAGAGAACAAATAAATATAACAACGCGCCGTCACCACCGCGGTCAGCCTCTCTCACACACTAGTGTTGACAACACCTATAAATAAGCAGATC